GTTGGTGGGTGTGCTAGGGAAGGAGTTGTGTGTAAGTGAGAGGTCTAGGCTGGAAATTGAGTCAGTTTGACGGGAGCATCCATGGTTTGGCTCAGCTTTGGTTATGGAGGATATAAGGAATATCTGTGACTTTTCCTGTTAGTGGTCCTGCTTCTCATGCAAAAAAAAGAAGAGGGGAGAGCTGTAATTTACTGGCCACCTAGATATCTGTACCAGGGGGAGGATTAGCCTTTTTGCAATCTACTCAATCGTTTGGATTATTTTGTAATACTGGGTGGACTTTCATTCCTTGAGAGCTTTAATTTTTCAGAGAATTAGGATATTATCATCCCTCCATAGAAAAGCAAAGGTTTGCAAACGAAAGAATGGCCTTTTTTTAGCCTCTGTGTAGTGTTATATTTTGTAAAATGACTCTCAATGGATGATGTTAAGGCAAAGGACTTGCTGCTTTGAGATGGGAAGCAAACTTGCAACTCTTTCACATTCTCTGGCCATTCCAATTAATTGTTGAAGTCTGCAACTTGTAGGAAATTCTTGAGTTGAGCAATGGGGAAGCTCTCATGAATTGAGGATTCTTAAATGCCAGATCCTTCTGTGCCTTCCCCACAAAGATGTTTTATAGCTGCAGGGAATGACATCAATGGGAAAATAATTCCCACATGTAATTAATCTGACCAATACTAAGCTTTGCCAGCAGTAGCTACAGGAGCTCCTGCCAACAGCCCCTGCAGGAAGGAGCCCAGCTCCCAATGCACGTGGGCTTTGGCTGCCCTCTGGCACAGAAACCCCCCAGGGGCACAGGTCTCTGGGGCAGGAGAAGGGCACCAGCACTGCCAGGGCTTGGCTGGGGTGGCAGGTCTGCCTCAGTGGGGGACTCTGCCACACCTGCTGATTTCAGTGCTGCCAGGCCCCTGTGCAGATTCTGTGCAAGGCCCCGTGCCCTTCCTGCTGTGGCTGCGTCGGCAGCCCTGGGGGCTCCTTCTGCTGCCCTGAGCCTGCAGAGCAGGGCAGTGTTTGCTGATGGTTTGAGGCGTTCCTAAAGATCCTGTTGGGCTGTCTAAGACACTTTGGGCAAGGAATTCCTTCCAACCTGGGCCACTTTGGGGGGGATGGGGGCAGCCCAAGGGCAGGTGGCAGTGTGTGCAAGGGCCCTTTGTGACATATGGTCACCATGGGATGGAAATGGACAGGGTGTCAGAGGGCCCTTTGTGACATGTGGTGGCATAGGAGCTGGCGGTGACAGGGCAACGCCACAGTGCCCAGTGCACGCGACGGGACAGGACGCGGCAGAGCGGTGCTGTGAGGAGCCCCCGCACAGCGCACTCGTTTGTGTCTGACCCGGAGCTTTTCCAAGTCTTTACTCATACAGGTGACCTCGTGGCAAGACTGCGGGCCTTGGTGGCCCGTGGCTTTCCCGAGGCTTTTCTTTTGCAGGTGTCTGCCAGGCCAGACTGCGAGACTTGTAACCTGGAGCTTTTCTGAGGCATCTCCCATTCTCCCGGCCTCTGCCCTCAAGGTGAGACTGTGGGACTTAGTGAGCACAATCATTTACAAGGAGTCTCCAGCCATTATGGCAGGAGCCCTCAAGACCAGACTGCAGGACTTGCTGTCCTGTAGGCTTCCTGAGGCTTCTCTGTCACAGGTGCCTAAAAGGCACAAATGGACAACTTGTTGACTCAGAGATTTCCCAAGGCATCTCTCTTTAAGGTGCCTTCAAGGCAAGATTGTGTCATGGCGGGCAGATTCCTCAGGCTGTTCAAGGTGTTCAGGGGGAAAAGAAAGAAAGAACCTGGAGCTGCCCCAGCACAACAGCCGGAAGAGCTGGAGCAGTTCCAGCCACTGCAGGATGGTGAGTGGCAGAACTGGGCCACAGGGCTGATGGCTGCAGTCAGCTGGGCCCTGCCCCATCCCATCCCATCCCATCCCATCCCATCCCATCCCATCCCATCCCATCCCATCCCATCCCATCCCGTCCCGTC